CACGTGACTACATCTAAGTATAGCCAACCACATGGCACCAAAGATGGAAGTGTCTATGTATATGATGCTTAATCTACGGCCACCTCTATTCTCACCCCGGGTGAGAATGCGCAGGCGGGTCTTGGCTATTTTCACCCGGTGGGCGTTCACCGTTATAGCCTAGGCCAACCAGTGAAGCGTTCACCCTGAACCACAGAATTCCATCAGAAAGTAATCGTTTAGAACCAGTTCTAGTAATCGTTGGTGGGGTGAAAGCGAGTATCCCTAAACGGGATCGCAATTGCACAGGAGTGCCTCCAATTGATAATTTGCCATGTAAACGTGAAGATTGTGTGTGTTTTTTTTTTTTAATATTATTTTTGCAAGGGTGACAAGCCCCCCTGATACACCCCCCCACTAACTGGGGCAAGCCCCCCTGAAACCCCACACTGTTATGGCTAGTGCGCAGGCACAGAGGTCTAGATTTAGATCTAATGCACATGTAAACACAGTGGGTCCACCAAAGTTCAATCCGGCCAAAATACATTTTTAATTATAAAAAAGGCACAAAAATGTTACTGGCTAATGATGTGGTAGGGTTCACTTAGCGGCCACTTTTGTCCTTTGCAATCACTTCTGTTTCTGTAAGCAAACGGGAAGGCATTTTCCAAAGAGCTCCTAGATTCTAGAATCTAGTGATCTAGATCTAGCTGCACAGTCCCTTTTCCATTCTCTCTTGTTTCGCCGAACGACTTTTATTTTCAAATTGTCGAGTGTTGCCGGGTCCCTACCGGGAAGAGGATCGAAGATGTGTTCTGTGCTTTGAGCGATCAAGGCTTTGTTGCCCTCTGTAAACTCTGTTGCATTCAGACCACGCCTGCATTATTTTTCACTCGAGTATTCCTGTGCTGTTTCCTCATTCACTCTGAGAGTGAGCGACCATAGCGTTTCTGTCGTACCTCTGTGCCAATGGTGGATGATTCAGGGTGCCGTTAACGTAGCCACTGTAAATTTTTATTATAAATTACCCCGCTTTGCCTCTTGTCCGATTAAGACGAAGTTCTAGATCTATTTATGATTCTAGGACTTGTAGACTGACTCGGCAATGGGGTCATGAAGTGGGAAGTCGGGAATCTTAACAACTGCAATTTAAAATACAAGCCGAGCCGAGCGAGCTGTTCTCCGTGGCTTCAGGATCACTTTGTTCAAATTGATCATCAGTTTTCACGTCGAGTTTTATTTCTTTCGCTTCACAATGGTTTCCTTTTCACTGGCAATCTGACATCAAGAATTTTGTTGAGATTCCCGACTTTGCATTTTGGGACCCCATCGCCGAGTCAGTGTACGAGTCCTAGATAAATATAGATCTAGATTTTTGTCTCATCGCCATTGGATATGTGGCAAAGTGGGGTAATTTCAGTGATCATAATCTTCCGCGGATCCCCGGAAATCCGGGATTTTCAGTCTTCTCCGCTTTTTCCCTCCCAGTTCCTCCTTTTCGTGAGTCACGTGGTTCGCGCAAATTAACCCCCGCTTATCAACAATACAATGCCTTACGATCGGCCCGCGCAGTCCGCCAGTGATGCGATACTCGAATTTCAGGGCGCTTCCATCATCGTGAAACTGCTAGAGACTGCAATGTTAATGTGGGGCCTATTTTAGCTCGATTAGCGCCATTTCACACGCATGAGCCCTCTTGAAAGCATTCATCTGAAGGAACTGACAAAATTGAACTTTCTTAGAATTTAAAAAATTGATTTGAAAATCAAAAACAAATTTAGGTATGTGTGCGGTTGAGGAAGTTTGACCATAGAATAAAAGAAAGGTGACAAAGTTACTATTTGTGTTGGTGATTCTAGTGGACATTCCTGGTAAAGTGTTATGAAAATACTGCCATGATCTAGAAAAAGTAGAAGTTCCTGTAATACCACCTCATCCAAGCCCATATTTTCCCTATCCTCAAAGGTACGGTGGTAACTCTTAATTACACAATTTCTTTTGAAAGTGAAATCGATGTTAATAATTTTTATGGGTGTGGTAGGGTCTTGTGATTCTATTTCGCAGGTTTGGTGCTTCTGTCGGTGTATTTTCCTCCTTTTTGACTTTTGCTTACAACTTCTTATGATCACTGTTATTTATGATAAAATAAAAGAAACGGATGATAGTGTTGGCGCTGAAAAGGTAAAACTACAATTCACAGAAAACTGACGCTGTAAATGTAGTCACTGCGTTGTAGTTGTATAATTTGTATTGTTGCTACAATACTAGAACTAAAGTAAAATAACAAGTTACTATACTACTGTAGACTATAGGCATACTCTTAATTCAGTGTTTTGGAAGCATGTAAACTGCCTTGTCTTAGTTAATATATATATATATACATTGAAACCGGCATTCACTGACATTAGATTCCTCCACAAAAAAGAACCTGCCTTGGATTCATTGATATGATTCGATGTGAGTGAATCACACTTTGGATGGATTCAAGTACTGTAGACTACAGAGTTGTCAATTTTAAAAACTCATGGTCGTTAAATCTTGCCTTTCCTGAGACTGAATACTCAAACTCGGTGAAATTGAATTTCTCGAATTCAAGGTTCACTCTACAGCTTACTTGGAACCGATTGACTTTTATCAGTAACATTTTTGTAAGTTACTTCATTTATTTTATTTTCAAAATGAAAAGCTGTTCTGAGGTAAGCCTATGATGTTACAAATTGGGATGGCACTGTCTGTATATCTTTTTTTCAAATTTTTTAAAACAGATTATGTTTGACAAAATCCAACTTCTCTGGCTCCCTGTGAAAGGATGTATTCAGTTCAATATAGCTATCCTTTGTTTTCAGTGCATAGACAATATTGCACTATCATATCTTTGTGACACAGTCATCGTGTACATCTCAATCTTTAAGATCTGATCAGTCAAAAAAGACTTTTTAGGCCTGTTCGAAGTAAAAGTCTTAGACTCCGAGGGATAGCTTTTTCACACCAAGCCTCTCCCTGTGGAATGCATTTCCATCACATCAACGACGGGAGCCAACTCACCTCTTAAAAATAAAATTACAAGGTTCTTCATCATCATTGCCTTTCTCACCCTGCACCAGGGTATAGGCCACGTACAAACACTTTCCACCTTTCTCTATCCTGGGCTAGCCTCTTGATGTTATTCCATGTCTTCCCACTTTTCAGTACATAAATCATCAATTTCTGTGATTCTTCTCCAGGTTCCAAGTAGTCTTCCCCTTGATCTCTTACCCTGTGGATTACAGGGTTCTTACTGTACTTTTATATTTCCCTTAGTCTGGATGACCATTTGGGAACTAAGGATAATGGGGCAACCGCTTTTCTCCGTCCTTCTTTATTTTCAGCCTTTCCAAGGGCTTCAACCCAATTTTAAAACTGTCCATTCCCTCCCCCATCTCTTTTTATTTTATATTTCACAGGGTTGATAAGGGCATTAAACCTATGCAACAACTAACAATATTATTCTAATGTGTATGCTTCCAGGCCTTTAGAGTTTCTCAACTGTAGTGCCCCCGAAGATCTCAAAGGCAATGCTACCAAGAGAAGTGAACAAGGGTATGGTTGCTCGAAGGTAAGTCCATTTCAGCTGTAAACATTGAATGTTAAGAGTTCATTCATATCTGAATGATGAGTGACATAAGTCTTATATTCCGTAATTATCCAGACTTTGCCGTACAAGCTTCTGTTTCATAAATGTAACCTGTGAGTGAGATAAAAGACTGTCGTCAGAAGCCTTGGAGCGCAGATTATTGCTCTGGGCATGGTTCAGACCATGTCATTAAGAAACCAGTGATTAGGCTCCAATGTGTTAAATTGAGATGTGCTCATCAACCAGCACAAAGTTTTTGATTTGAGGTTTGAGTGAGATTGAGTCTTACATATATACAGACAATACTGTCTAAGACAGCCACCCTTTGTCGAGGAGGAAAGTGGCCATCTTTTACAGTGTCATTAAAATGTAAAAAGTACACAAGAGAGGAAATGGAGAGTGGCAGTTTGTACAGGTTCTTATACAGGCGGCCATTAGATCAGGTTCGACTATACCTATTGCAGGGCTACCTAAATCTACCGATTTTTCCGGTAGATACCGATTTTGGGCCTGTTCTACCGACATACCGATAAGGTGTCAAAACTACCGGATTTACGATGGGTGCCGAAAGAAGAAAAAACCCCAAAAAAACCCAACCCCGTTCTGCAGTGCTTCCAATCTTCTTTGTTTTCATGTCAATCCGTACATTCCGAAAGTTCCGTGCTTGCCGCATCATCATATCAACCTCATGCGTTAGAGAGAGAGAGAGAGAGAGAGAGAGACAGAGAGAGAGAGGGAGGGAGGGAGGGGGGGAAGGGAGGGAGGGAGAGAGAGAGAGAGAGAGATATCAGCACTTGCCTCCGTAACTTGTCAGAATTTACGGCAACACTCGGCTATAAGTTGTATTAGAAACTGCCAGATCGCGCATTTTGTACACTCGACCATTGTCTATCTGTGCCGTTCGGTCGGCAATAGTTTTTCACGTGCATATCGGCTAAAATCTGTCTACTCACGATAGATAATCTTCCTCCTTCCTTTCATCCATTCATTCTTTCTGTCTATCTTCGGATTTTTGCTGCGTCTGGAATATCTGTCCGTTTAATTCAAAACCAAATCTGAAAAGGCTAGGCCTGCTGAGTTCATATTCTACCGGTCGCGTTTTTTATACATGTATTACGTTCAGCGTTCCCCAGTCCGAGAGTACGTTTCACACGAATAAGCGGCTGTGGCGGCAGGCAGAAGTGTAAGTTTTAATACCGATACTGAGACTCCTTCGCGAAAATCAAAATCTACTTTCACTTTCGTAACCACTCAGATTATTGTCCGGTGATAGTTTGACGTAACGTTAGATTTACAGTTACAGTTAATAAAAATTTGTAACGTGTAGTTTGTGCACAAAAAACACATTGTCACCATACAAATTAAATTGATGTTCTCACTGCTGTCACTATAATGACAAAAAAAAAAGAAAACTAGCGTCCTCCGATTTCTAGATTGTCGGACCCGTCATCGTGACCGGTCAATGAACCTACAGTAGTGCACGTTGGCATGGTGTGGGTACGGCATGAGTAAGGGACCGGCGGGCGGTTGTTGGGGTAATTGAAGTTCATTCAAAGTCGGAGCGTTGCTGTAGGGCTTTGGAATTGAGGTGAGGTGTTTGACACAATAAAATCTATGGCAGCAGGATAAGGCCGCGGTGCAAGAAACTGATGCTAAAATAAAAACGATAAGTGGAAGTGGTTTTGACATTCGACAATCGAGTGCGTAAATGAGGGAACATTAGAGTACAGGCTTGATGATTATATCTTCAAGGTTGGTGTTCCCGGATTTGTCAATTATGACAAATTGAGTAGTGATGAGGAAATGCCATTTTCAACCCTCGGAAAGCTCTATGTTGGGTGCCTATGCATCATGATGGCTTGTTGCTGATTCAAAACTGGTATTGTGATTTTGCATTTTGAAAAAAAATCAGTATTTAGTCCATGATGCAGTTATTCACTGATTGCCAGATTTTCAGCATCAATAGCCTACATCCCACGCTCTCACAGTCCTTCCAGCTCCCGCTCTCAGTACTCGCTCTCTTCTATTGTCACTTTTTGCTTTGCCGTGAACCTAACTATAAAGGTTTTAATATTAAATTTTGTCTTGCATGCTTTTTCAAATCGGTGATTGCTGAAACCAAACATGATGGTTTTGGCAGCTGATGTTCTTCTTGCCTCTCCTTAGGCCCAGATCAGGATTCATTTTGTACTTTTAGGGCAAAACTAGTTAAAATTGTTTGTGATACTTAAGTCACAAAAGACATCAGTGTCCTATGCTAGTGTCGGAAAATATGTTTGAATGTAGTTTCTATTTGTATGGGCTAGGGGTTTTGAAGTCAGTTTGGCAGTCACTGTGCACTCAATTCCAGATTCAATACTGAATGATAGGTGCCTTGAACGATAGTACATAATATAATAAATGCTTAAACCCCCCCCCCCCCCCCCCCCCAAAATCTGGACATTTTATAAACACCAGTTTCGTACCCGCCCACACACACGCACCCACAGAATATTCCGCACACACGCCCTCACGCACACACACACACACACACACACTCACACACACACACACACACACACACACACACACACACACACACACACACACACACACACACACATGTGCATGCACAAACAAGTTTTCAAAATATAATTTCCCAATATCACGAAAATCAAGCGCGTTCGATGAGGCAACAATCATCTTTTTTTTCCCTTTGTCTTTGTACTACCTGATTTTGGCCCAAACTACCTGAAACTAACCCTGAATCTACCTGAAATGGGAATTTTGAGGTAGGCAGCCCTGCTATTGGCTCACAGAATATGACTGCACATATGTGAGGCAGCGTGGTGAAATCAGGCACTCGTCAAAATAACGAAATCAGAGAAACAGGCATTTTTCCGTCAGTTTGGAAATTTATTTTTTTTTGCTTAACCTCTTTTATGTCTGTATAACAACAGATTTCCATATGGATTTTACAGAAAAATATTGATTGAAGGCATAAAATATGCCATTTTTCTGTTTCAAAAACTCTTTAGCTATTGGGGTTATCAGACTTTGGCGGCCATTTTTTCGCTAATTTTGCCATTGTAACCAGGCTTTCCTCCACATGCCCAAAAATTGACGAGCGCCTGATTCCGCAGCGTCATGACACATATATCTTGCTGGGTCTAGGAAAGCCACTTCCAAAAACGTGATGGCCTGCCTAGTAAGGCCAATTTAGTGAATGTTTTAATGAATATATTACCTTTTAGTACATTGAGAATAGTATGATCATAGCAGATTCTGACTTTGTAAGACTGGGCTCTGGAGGAGAGGGCTTTCCGACAGTAAACATTGTATCCAAGTCTACAGAAAAACAGATCTAGCCAAATGGCAGTGTTAGGCAGCAGGATCTTAAATCTTAAGTTTGTAACACTGCTCTTCTTTATGACTGATTGAATGTAGAGTTTCCTGGAAATCATCACCCACTGTATAATTGTAAATAGTCACGAGAACAACTTATTTTTTGTACATTCTGACAAGTCTTCTTGTTGGGAAGTAGATCTTTAATTCAATCGTTTAGCCTTATCTTGAATGGTCGTCCCAAGACTCGAGGCTCTTTGAATCGATGGTGAGCAGAGGCTCATACCCATTTCTTTTGTGTGTATTGATACTGGCAGTACTTGTACTTGTTTGCGAAAAATTCATTTTGTGATACCTGACTGGATCGTAACGTTTTGTGTTTTCAGTGGGGTGGAGAAAAGTATGAAGATGTCCAGAACACGAGTGTTTGGTGTACTGCTCTGCCTGGCATTGAGTGCTATGGAAACAGGACCTTTCTACGGGATGGATTTCCTTGCATAATGTAAGTTAAAACTACCTGTTTCTTCATGTTCTTGTACATGATGTTAGATATTTAAAAAAAAACAACTGTTCAGTTTATATATAACGTGTCCCATACTCTTTGTTCTGTTCTATGTTTTTTTCGTCTACTTCTATGGAAAATATTGCTATGATTATCTTGTCAATATTCTTCAATTCGATATTGATTATGTTCGGAAATAAGTTTTCAAGTTAAAAGTGAACTTCCAATAGAAAATGAGAATCTGTGTCTCAAGATAATGTTTAACATTTTTGAGTTGTATGTCATTTAGGTTCTTCTAGACCTCTAGGAGTGGATAGATCAGAAGAAGTGTAGGCTCTGGTTTACAATCTGTTTCAGTTTATCTTTTAGAAAATTCTGTCTGTGATAGTGTGAATCTAAAGGCAAAGATGCTGCTGTATTTTGTATATGTGATTTGATTTTGCAGCTGTGCTTGGTAGTAAAGGTAGAGAAAGGAAAGCTTATATATAACAATGTATGGTATGGCATTGTGAACCAAGCATCACATTCTATTGAAAATATATGTGTGATTTTTTAAAACCCCTATTCTTAGCATTATACATAGGTCACCACAGCATAACCAAAACTTCAGCCAGCTGATGGCTTCTCAGAACCAAATTATTTCAGTGTTTTTCAGAGGTTCAGAGGGTGTAGTAAAGAAATTGCTTTTGCTTTTGATCGAAGCAACGCATATCAATGAAATTTCACTTACAAAATCCTTGGACGTCAGCATCTAAATTTGGAGTGGAATGTCCTTTTTTCTAAGCCTGTACTACAGGCAGATGTGCCAGGCCAGTAAAAGCCAGTATGGCTCTACAATGGGAAAGCTTGTAAAAGCCGGTATGGCAACCATGATGGGAAGACTGGTTAAGGTCAGTGTGACTCAAAAAGTGTGTCCTAGCACAAACAATGAAGTTAAGTTAATCAGGACACTGGGATGATGGGGAATGATATTGTAGGAGGCTCTAATTGACGTGGAACTGGATGGGTTGAAATGTATTAGTGATTGCCTTTGCTATTACTCCTAATTAATTTCCCTTTTAACTGCTTTAAAAAAAAAAAAGTCCACGGAGATGCAGTTTTTACAGTAAATCGATACTTTTATGATGGAGCAACAGTTGATAAGGAAAGAAAAGATTGTAAAAGTCACTTTGAGCCCTGCATTTGGAACTTAATAAAAATAAAAGACAATGAATAGATAACACTTCTTTGATCTCCATGGAGAAATTTGAGTTAAATTGGCAAACATAACTTGAATACATATTTCAACATACAAAATATACATACAAGAAATATGAAATGCTCAAAATTACACCAATGTAAAACAATTTAACAAATATGCTGTTGCTGGTTGCCACTGTGAAGCACCCTGTTGTTTGAACTAGGGTCAATCATGTCTTGCTCAAGGACACACCACCCTTCTACATCCCTTGTCACCTACATTTGCTTGATATTTCTTGTTGAGTCTGAAGTGAGCAGTCACCCGGCTACTGGAGCCCCTGTTACTTGACCTGACTAGTTAGCACATATGTGTCACGATGTGGTGGAATCAAGCGTAGTCAATTTTTGAGTATGTGGAGTTATTGGTATCTGCTTATAGCTTTTTCATTTCTCTTACTTTTGATGCAACAAAATATCTATTTATCTTGGATACAAGTTGAGATATTGGCGATGGAAGGAGGTGGGGTCAACTGGTTTCAGAGGTAAAATTAGCGAGAAAATGGATGCCAAAGTTTAGTTATTTCCTTAGCTTGAGGGTCCGTGGAAACTGAAAATTTACGACTTCTGTACATTAAATCAACTTTTTTTTCGTAAAATTCACTCCGAAATTTGTTCTATAATGGTCATGAAAGGTGTTTAGCCAAAAACAAAAATTGGATAAAAGTTCTCAAATTGCGGGAAATGCCAATTTCTTCACTTTGATTATTTTGACAAGAGCCTGATTTCACCAAGATGCCTCACATATATGGGTTTCCACTCTTGATGGGACCTTATTTAGGTTGTGTGATGTCATGCAGGAGAGATACTTACTTTAGAAAGGGCGGGTCGATATTTACTTGCACTGAAAAAAAATGAGCATTTTGAGTTAAAAGCATAAAAGTGATATATTCTGATACGCATCATGAACAATGCCATAGGTCTGTATCATTTATTCTTATTTCTTTCCAGGTATAACAATCATTACTTTGTGACTACACTGATTTATTCTGTCCTGCTGGGGTTCCTGGGCATGGATAGATTTTGCTTGGGTCACACAGGTGATGATTTTGCACCATTTTCATGTATTTCTTTCGGCAGCTACCTTACAGACAATGTTCTGTCAGTGCAGCTTAAATGATTCCATATTGTTTCATGTCTTACAGAGAAAGTTTGAAAAATCTCTTTGTCTTAATTAAACATTGATGGATTTGTTTTGATTTGCCTATGCAGTTGAGCCTGGTTTGAATCAAAGGGAAGGCCACCTGTTCAGGACAATCATCTGTACAAACGACCTCTTTCCACTTCTCCCCTTGCGTTTTTTTTATAGTAAGAACATTGTCCAAGAGAACCACCTGTCTGAGATGACCACTTTTCTCATTGACTATGGGTGTTCATCTTTGACAGGTTAATACAATATATTGATACAATACTATATTTTTCTCAGATTATTTCTACCTTAATTTTCTTTAATGCAGCTGGGAAGAAAGGAGTAATATGGTTCATTTTTAAATACCGGTAGAATCTCCAGTTGGAAGTGCACAACAGATAAAAAAACAAATCCCAGAATTTTCGGTAGTCTTCTTATTTACTTCATTCTTGTTTTAAATTGTAGGGAAAAGGTGATAGTTTTTGAAAATAATGTTAACTTAGTTTTGAAATTTCCTTCATATGACTGATATTGACCGGCAGGGACACATATTGTCTTTTGGTTCTTTTGAATTGAAGAGGTTGGCATCGACTTTTAAGCTTTTTGACACTGTGTTTCTCAGCTTTTATTTCATAGGAAAGCTTTCTGGATCAAATGTGTTTGCACAGTTCATGGTACCTTTCAAGCTTTTGCACAGTATACAGCCTAGCAGGCACTTAACGAAAAGTGCACTGAAACATGCACACAGTGAACAGGTTTGCCAGCCCTGAATAATTTTTCTTCTTGTATGTATTCTTTGTATTTAAAACATACACAGAGCAAAATTCATACATATATAATATATATATATATATATAAGAAAAGATTTCTGCATCCTGCTGATTTCAATATGTGCATGTTAGACTTTTGTCATTGTTCATAGATTTTTCCAAACTTTTTTTTCTGTTGTTACTGGTGAAGGATCTTTCCTTTTGTTGAACTGATTGTTTTTTGTCTTTTTCAGGGACAGCTGTGGGAAAGCTGCTTACTCTTGGTGGCCTGGGCATTTGGTGGATCATTGATGTGGTGTTGTTAGTGACAGGACAGCTGAAGCCTGCAGATAAAAGTAACTGGGTTCCCTATTACTGAGGTGGGGTAAGACGTTGAAGGAGACTGGACCTCTTTTGACTTGGACCAAGTTGGTGCGAGTCCATTTGGTGGTTTATTGTGATAATACATTGTACCGTAAATCCTGTCTGAATGACCATGGTTTACCTGAGCTCTGTCAATTGGACATAAGAGAGTTGTAAAGATATAAACCTCTAATATTATCCTTAGTGGTAGACTAGGAGACCATCAAGTGGAAAAGTTGTTAAACTGGTCCAGTGGTAGACTCAAGTTGAACCAAAGAATCATGCTAGACCGTCAAGTGGACTACCACAGATCGAGCCTATGCTGAGCAGCCTATGGAGTTTCCTGAGTACCCGTGGTGGCTTAGTGAAGACCGTGGACCATGGCAATGATGTTCTATTTGTGACACGAGATCAGTGTGATTTAGTACACAGAAGGAGACGGAGAGAGAAAGTCAGATTTATATCATTCTTGAGAGTAAACCACTGGAACATGTTTGAAGCATTAATATTTATGAGCACATTATGAAGAAATAAAATTGGATAGGTGCGTAATTAAACGATGGCTAGTGATGTCTGCAGACTTACTCTGTTTTTGTGTGTTATGACTGGAGATTTCACAGAGGAAATTTGAATGGATAGTTTGCTCACCCACTCTGTGCTTTGATCCATTAGTTTGTAGAAAAACAATCGCAAAGACTGTAAGGTAATGATTCTTTTTTTTGTCTGTGAACTCCGTTGTGTTTCCCTACCAGGTGTACTGACTATTTGATTCAAAATTTTTCTTTTTGGCTTAGTTGTTCAGTCCAGTAAAGATCTCAAATGGGTCTTGCCTGTTCTTCATATTCCTGTGATTGTCACAAATAAGTCTTTGTGGCCAGTGAGGTAACCTGTTTTTAGTAATATTGGACAAATTTTACACAGGGATGGAAACTGATTAGTCCAAAATTTTCTGAATTTTTTGAGCTGTACAGATTTGGAAAGATACACTTCTTCAATTGTAGATTAGTACACATAGTAGAAAGACTCACCATTAAAAATAGATGGACCCACACTCTCTCCAGCCTCCTCTTGATCAGCACTGGAATTTGTTTCTGTCTGAGCCACTGTTCTGCGTTCAATATGACGTCTTGGCTTTGCTGGTGCCTGCAAACAACAATTTTGAATGTGTTCATAGCTTGCCTGTTGGCTCCAGCTAGTGAGTGGTCGTTTGTTTACTCGCGCCTTGCCCGAAGTCTTGTGAGGTGTCTTTTAGGCCTATGTCACAATAACTATTCTAAAGGTGCGTTCACTCTACATGTCCTATTCTAAAGGTGTGCTCACTCTACATGTTCAAAGGTGCGCTTACATCACAAGAGTGGCGGCTGGGGTATTTTCTCCAGTCAAGCGGGCAGCATTGACTGGGCCTGTGTTGAAAGCGAGGCTCGCGCGGTCCACATCTTTTTTAGGTCTGTGGAATGAACAGACTGAAGTTCCCACGCACGGGTCCTAGGCCTTAAAGCCCGTATACAAACAATTTGCTGATTGCCGCAGCTGAAGACAAGTGATGCGCGAGCAGACTAACATACGGGTCACGCCACATACGGAAAACAGTTCGCTCACCCTTATGGAAAATGATAATTTCACTTTACTGGTCGACCGAGTGCTTACGGAGGCCACTTACAGATGTTAGGTCCCTCTTACGAAAAATGATGGAGCAAATTAAAATTATAGATTTCCATAAATTTACGGGAAATTTCCATCCCTGTGTATGCAAGTCTGTCCATTATTCTTAAAAACTTGATTTAGAATGTGAGTGGAGGAATGCACAGCCAGCAGTATTGTGATACCAATATAATAATAATAATAAATTATATGTATTTGTTTTGTTCAGTTGACAGTTTTATGTCTCCTTCCTCTTTCAGCCTCATGTCTTTTCCTTTTCACTATTTCTCCATGGGTTTCTCTCAAGCATGCTTTCTCTCAAAATTAAGTCAGATGTGTATGCCATTTACCCACTTTGAAGTTTAGTTTGTATTCGTCTAGTAACAGACAAACATATACATTAACAGTAGGTTTGTGTATGTTTCTGTCAAATAAAACTTGTTTGGTCTGTTCGGTTTGCTATGGGTATATTGTTCCTTTCGTCATAGTGAGGTTTCATCCCTGATCTACTTGTGAGACAACAGATCTTGTGCTCATGTGTGAGAATATGTGTCACAACGCGGTGGAATGAGGAGCTCGTCAGTTTTTGGGCACGTTCGGTTATTGGTTTCGTCATAATTGTTTGTTTGTTTGTCTATCTTTCAGTAAAAAAAATACCCATATATCTTGAACAGAAGTCAGGATATTTGCAAGGGGGGAGGGGTTAGCTGGTTCCAAAGGTAAAATTAGCAAGAAAATGCTGCCAAAGTTTGGCGACTTCCATTAATTGAGAACCCTTGGAAACTGAAGACTTACATTATCTATGCTTTCAATCAACGTTTTTCAGTTAAATCCAAACGTAAATGTGTTTTTAAATGGACATAAAAGGTGTTAAACCAAGAACCAAAATTTGATTAACCTTGCCAAACCGGTGGAAAAACGCTGGTTTCTTTGATTTCGCTATTTTGACGAGCGCCTGATTTCACCATGATGCCTCACTTATGTATGTTTACAAGTCTGTTTTGTACTTGTTCCTCTGGGTGGTCAGGTGTTTTGTTTGTTTGTCTCTTTTTCTTTATGCTGTATATGACTTTTTCACATTTTTGTTTACTTTTGATGTAATGTTGAATGTTGGTTTGTTCCCCCCCTCCCCCCTTCCAAACTCGTGTCATACAAATTTGTAAAATACACATTGATATGTCTGTTGATCTATTGCTCCTTGCATTCCTAATCGTATGATGTATTTTCACTTGTTCATTGTCATTCATATATTGTAAGTATTCATGCATAGTGTAAGTTCTTTTTTCTTAGAGTGTATAATTGTTGTTGTAAATGTGGATTATTGTTGTTAAGGAATGAAGTTTTGACGACTATTTTACTTTTCAAAAATGTCGTTCATGAAAGTAACATTGTTTCACACGATGCCTGAGAAAAGCCAAGCCAGTCTATAAAATTTTACTTTTGAGATGGAGCAGACATTTTGCAAGACCTTCTCTTTGCTTTGAAGATTTGAACCCAAGAACTGTTCTCTGTAAAATTACTGCTGCTAAGTAAAAGTAAGAAAAAGTGTGAGAAGAATTGAACACCTTTTTGTTAAATCAACCAAGTAGCTGCAAAATACTCTGTAAAAATCTAGCTTTGGTATAGCTTGTTCACTTTTGTCTGTCAGTGTTAAGAAAATTCTAGTACCCCCCTGGCGGTGCTACTGACTGAAGTGTCTTTAAGCTATTCTCAAAGAGGGGACATTAACATATTCTTTTGCTCAGTAGAATTGTAAATGGGCTGATTCATCAATGTCATGCCTGAACTGCATACAGGGACCTGCTGCTTTTTCTTTCCTAATCCTTACTATCGTCATTTTCCCCCTACTTCTTTTGTATGTTTGTCTCTCTCTTTTGACTATCTATTTCCGGGGTGCCTTGATAGTCGAAGCAGACTTTGTGCTGTTGAAGCAAGAGAGGTGAGCAGAGTAGGTCTGATTCCCTGTAAAGACTTCTCTGTTGACATCCACCCCTTGGCTCTCATATAACCTTATGCAGTTGCGAGTGCCGTAAAAACTCTAAAACTAAAAAAAGAAAATTGTAGCTCCTTTATTCATTTGCCAATGTGCCTGTGGGCCTGTTACCAAACATTTTTTTGGTTGCTGTCCAGTAATTTTAAAAGTTTCTCTATTTGGGCCAAATTAAACACTGCCCTTTGGGTGCATACACCGGATCACTACAACCAACTACAATAAATGATTTACAGTATCATTAATCTAGCCTTAAAAAAATGACCATTTTGAGAGAGTAACACCACCCTGCCTCAACGTTTCAGTGGAAGCCTGTAGATTTCCTTCTAATCTAAGACTGTCTAGGTGCTTTGACGTGAATCTTTGTTGAAGTACTCACCCGTCTGTTGGACTGTGTTTCATAGGTGTGCGTAAAAGTGTGGTGTTGAGGAAAATTGGTCAACTTTCTGATGTTTTAGTTTTAGGTGTATGCTGTAAATCCCCTATTATTCTGAAAATTCTCTCACCCGCTTTAGACTAACATCAAAGAAAATGTGTGGGAACTAGTTTTCTCAGTGACCTTCATTCATGGGCTTTTAGATTCTGTTGGTCATCCAACTTTTAGACTCATTTGCTGAGACTTGAGAAGATTAAACAGAGCAATTTGTTTTTTATCTTGTTTTGACTTCTGACAGACAAAAAAGAACATGCTATAGCTACTGCACATTGTAATATTGTACAGACACAGGGTATGATTAATGTCTTATATATATATAAAATACATGCTTGTATTTATTGCCTTTGTCATCAATTTTGTGAGTCTCATGTGTGTTTCTTTTGGAATAAAATATGATTTATACATGACTTATTCTTTGGTTAGTTTCCAGGTTGTTTTAAGATGTGATCGTCATGTTTTTGTATTCAGATGTGGCTTTTTATTTGTTTGTGAGCAATAACATCCCTTGTAAGAAACCTGCTGGGTGGGTGCTCTGGTGTAGTTTGCCCCGTCTTTTTCTTGTCAATCATCTATCGCCCTTTCCTCAACCTCCCTCTTTTTTGCGTTTGTTACTCTCTTGTAATTCTAATCTTATGCACTTATATGACCTTATACTTATAGTGTTGCAAGTGCTGTAAAACTCTTACTGAAATTAAAAGCATGATGTCACCCTGAGGTAGCGGGTGGTTGGACAGCACTTCTGGTACTGGTAGGTCCTACTTCTTTACTTTCCTTCTGTTATTTCTGTCTGTCTCGTTTTTTCCTAGCACTAAATGACTTATTGTGTCAGTTTGCTTCTTTTTACTCAACCTATCAAACAAACCTCAAGGCAGAATCTATTCACTACTGTAAGTGAATGAAACCCCGTCCACTGTTTCGCCAGAACTCAAGTCCTGGGAACTGTCAAGTGTATCAGTCACACAAAAAAGGTATTGCTTATTTCTAACAGTAGCTACTTTATAACTTAAGTTTCCGAAAAACTGGCCTGTGCTGCAGTGGTGAGGTGCTTCGCTGTTGCATGCAGGAGAATTAATTGCCAAGTTCAATTCCGGAGGGGAGGGGGGGGGGGGGGATTTTTATCGAGTATTTCAGTCTTTCTGCTGGGATGTTGTATTCCTATCACTGTCCCCGTTGTTTTATGCAAGAAAAATTCTGAAATGATGCAAACTGAGCCAAAAAATGTGAAATTATGCGATTCTATTAATTTTAACAAAGAATGATGAAGGAAAATAATCTGAAATTATGCAAAAATTATCAAATTTTGCAAAATTATGCAGGGTGCATAAAACCACGGGGACAGCTATCAGCTTAGGTTTGGCTCTGACAGGCAGGGTCAGTTCTACTTTCAGTAATGAACAGATTTTACCTGAAGGTGACATCAGGAGACATAGCTTCAAATGCCAAGCAAGTGATTATTACTACGGTATTAAATTGGTTTCTTTAAAGATTTATTTATCAAAAATGCAGCTGAAAAAGATTTTTTTAAGGTTCAGAAAAAAAAGAATTATTCTTTAGAAAAACCAAAGCTGTATTGAGGACACACAAACTACAATGAGTGAGGTAAAGCAATTTTATTAGTGCATTAATTTAAATAATTGTAGTAAAAAGCAATTATAAACATTGCACCGAAACCTTTGCTAAATAACCAACATTTCCCTAAGGCATAACAGTATAATATAAGCATTTTATTGAGAACGAAGTTGCAGGTTCCCAAGTTCCAGATTACATTCAAGCAATTTGACCGCAGACATATTGTAAACATCAACATTTCTTATAAAACGAAACACTCATCTAACAACCTCATTTGCGTACATGGAAATGTACAGCTGACCCAGAACGGAAGTCATCAACAACATAATAAAATCACATTTTAAATGGTCAGTAGTCCAGATTGACACTGCATGGAGAGTCGCTTGGGAGTCTCTTGTGGGTTACATGTCTTTGGCACTATGACTTAACAATCGCAGCTGAAAATGGCAAAAAGATAACATAACATATATGCATACATCAGATTCAAAACTAAAAAACAGACCCCAAAACCTTCAACTTCGATGTCTTATAAACAAGACATGTTGAAGTTCATAGAAGACAAAAGTGACAGGGAAAGGGACGTAGTGAAAAGCTGGGAAACTCAACAAAAAGGAAAAAAAAAGGCTGACCAGAGAAAATGCAAAGCAAAAAAAAACTACCTTCAAGGCTGAGGTATAATTTTTTTATTAACTCCTTATCTCCGGCAAGCCACCCCCAGCAGCTTGCGGTCGGAACCCCTGTACCAATGAGCCTCCGGCAGAGCCTTGGGCATATTCCTTTAAGTTTAAGATGATTTTGACGTTAAATTACTTTCCGCCAATTGACGGAGTTAATTCATTAGATGAAAAACTATCAAAATAGATTAACTTGTTTTGATTTAAAGAATACTTAAGAGACGTAGACCTATACTATATGTTACTTAGAGGGCCCCTGCATAGTGGATTTATCCCCCCCTCCTAGATTATAAAGAGTTAAAAATATGTGATCTTTTGCTAACAAAAAGCACATAATTGAAACATACATGTTTATTAGATCTATAAATAGATAAAAGTGTCTTCATTGGATAACCTTTTAGGGAGTGAGGTTTATCATTTAAGCACAACAAAATAAGATAGAAAAACATTCTGAAGGTAAAGATGTTAAGGGCAACGAGAATTTGCATATATAAAAAAGACCATGACTCTTACAGTATCCAAAATGTAACCATGAACTGACTGATGACGTTTATGAACACATTATTAATACTTAACGTGGGGGCTGGCAAGGAGGAGATAAAATAAGAAACAAATTGTTCTAAGGCACTTCATGTTGTAAGTTGTAACTTGTAACCATCAGCAATTCAACGAACCCTGTCAAGACAGTTCAAGGACTGCCATCCACCTGAATACTGTTTGAACTGTGTCTTAGAACTTGAGCAACTGACCTGTAGAGGCCTACGGTTTACACCTCGCATTAGAAGTTTTGGATTTTTTTTTAAACCACTAAATGAAGTCACATAAATAAATCTCTGCATAATAGCAGCAGGATTTAACCCAAAATGAATGCAGCAAAAGAAAATCTGTATTCCGTCCCCCCTCCCAACAGTGTAACATGTGTTCATGAACCAAGTTTTGTTTTAAACTACTTTGGAAAAAAAATCTAAACATGAATTCAAATCCAGATTTTCGTACAGGCTATTTGTTAAAGCATACCCGTCAATAATGCATGTTTTTAAACATTAAAAATCATCCTAATCGTTCACATGATTATTTTTTATTTATTTCAAATACACAAAGCAATAAGTAGAGATAATGCATTAAAACAAATATAATCAAACGGTAAGAATCATGGCAGTTGAAGGAATGTAAATAGCAATTTCACAATTCAAAATCATCCCCAAAAACGTGTGAAGCTACTTCCCCCTCACAAATGCAATACTTGAAAGCAGAATATTTTTTAATGTTTATTTCACAAAGTATACGATATCAGCACATTCACAAAGTTTGTGAGATCAGCTCATATGATTTTAGATCCCTCTGCAGGTACCATGACATCGTTAGCATAACTAGATCTGGCAACATTTTCAGGAGGGGGGTGAAGGCCTGTCCCCTGTGCCACGAGCTCGCTCATACACTTGAACGCCCACCTCATAGGCCAGCTGATCTGCATTTTGCTGAAACACAAAGGGCAAGCTTAAAGTTACACTCAAGGTTCAAAAGGGGCTTAAAATTGTGATCTTACTACATCTATTATGATCTATCTTTCTGTCTATTTGTCTGTCTCTCTGTATCTCTTAAATCCTTACCTCTCTTTCCGTCAATCTCTGTCTCTCTCCTCTATTTCTCTCTGGGTGTCTTTTCCTATCTCTTTCCTTCTCTGTCTGTATCAATCTATTTCTCTCTCGGTCTTTATTTATCTGTTTATCTGTCTCTCACCTGTCTCTTCGTTCACCCATCTATCTGTATACGCATGTACTGTTATTATGTGTCTTCCCATACACAAAGCATTAGCTAAGTATTTGCAAGCAAGAAAAAAATCACTCTTCAATCTGATAAAAAACTACCCCCCCCCCGACCGACTTTTCAACATGAAAGAAGGAGCCGGGGGTGGTATTGCAATGCTTGAAGGGAGGACTGGACAGCAGTTGGCTTAGCCTTCTTGAACAAAGACTAAGCTAAAGTATGTTATTGTGCTAGCTGCAGATCCTTTAGTACATTTTCATCTGCTTTATTTCTAAGTAATCTAAGGCCACAAAATACAACATAGTGATATTCAGAAATTTAAAACTATGTCAGCCAGTTGCCTACATTTATAAAAGGCTAGCATATCCACTCCTGAGGTGAAGTGAAATTATCACTGAGATCACGAGAAGTAAAAACCAATACAAGGTATGCTTGCAAAAACTTACAGCTGGCCATCAAGAGAGTGACAGAAGAGCAAAAAACATGTTTCAGGTGACTGCTATCAACTAAAGGTTTCCCCATAACAGTAACATACTTAAGTCAAATATGTGTCCAAACTATTTTGTATGTAGAGAAACACACTTCTTTGAAAACATCTGTCTTTATTACAAGATTACAATCAAGCTTTCTTGCAGCCAAAGTGAGGCAATATCAGAACATCTGAATAGAAGAAAACTGACCACTGACAGGGCAAAATGTATGACTGAAATCAGCCAGAGTAGAGTTTAGTATAAAAAACTGGTCATCTCCCCGTTGTATTTTCTCTTAGCTTTTGGCTAAAACTAAAAAGCAATCAAAACTACAGTATTCCATCTACCTGGGAATCGGCTTCTGCATACACCCTGACAACATCTTCTGTTCCCGATGGTCTGGAAGAAAAAAACCCAACAACCTTTTATTCAAATACAGAGTCGCAAATGGTTACCTAAATATATTCATATTAGCCCATTTGTACTGCTTATTTGTTTAAAGTTACATGACATTTATTTCAGTGCCATTTACGCTGTGATAGCTCAATGATGAAGTCAAAGGTATGTGTTTCGCTAGTATCACCAGTGCAGTATATGTTCCTACCAAAATTGAAGAGCGGTCTTTCAACATTCAGTTCCGTCCAATTTCACTTATCAGTTTGTTAGTGTTTGAGTGCATGTACATGTAATCTGCAGTTTGCACTGTAGAATGTGATAGTTTTCAGCACAGTATTACAAAAACTGTGACAGTGACGACTGAATAAAAATCAGCATTTAAGACTTAAAATGAAAGTAGGCGCTGGAAAGTTTTAGACCCTCAGATCTATTGAGACAAAAACTATGACAGAATGAATTATGAATGATAAATGTAGAAATACTATTCAAAAGGACACATACCTGACAAAGGCCCGGCCATTTTTGTAACCAGCAGCTAGTCCTTCCACTGCCTCCTGCAGGCCAGGAGGATGAGTTGTGCGCCGCTCAGCATCTGTTGTTTGCACCACAGTACGATCCTCCACCTGAAATGGACAACAAGATATTATAATAATTATATTAATCATACTTACTACTTACTCTCTCCCTTTATCGTCAGGTACAGGCGGCAGTGAGCAGTCGAGCCATGCTTGCTTGTTCCTGGCCACCTTCTCAAGTCTCGGTACATCCAGGCCCCGGGTGATTGCCACATCCCTAATTGTGCCTCTGTAGCTTCTAGCTGGTCTACCTCTTTTTCTTTTTCCAGTTGGTCTCCAATATCATGTCTGACAGGGCAATCTTGTTTTTGGCATTCTTAGAACAGGTCTTAAATATCTCCACCTTCTCCTTTTTACGTCGTGTTGATATCTTCAATTCCAGCTGTTTCCAACACTTCATTATTTGTAATAAATTCATTCCATTTTATTAGTAAAATTCTTCGTAAACATTTTGTTTGGAAGCTTTTTAAAGGGCCAAAACATTACTATTGGATATTTTTTATTTCGTCTTCATTGAAATGTGATCTTTGACTTCTATATGGTTTTCAAATTTACAAAAGCCATCTATGCATTTTTAAATCTTTGGTGGATGTCGTCGAGGCAGTCAGCAGTTTTGGAGATAATGCTGCCAAGGTACTTGAATTTACTAATTTCAATAGGCTCTCCATACAGAGTAGTGTTTCTGGTGATAATCGCAGCACTTCTGTCCTGGATACATTTATTACAAGGCTGACTTTTCCCGCTGCTTTTGTTAATTCATTTGTTTTCAGTTGCATTCTATGTCAAGTGGAGTTTACAAGGCAGATGTCGTCTGCAAAATCTAAATCTCCTAAATACGTGCCATTTGTCCATCCAATGCCTATTTCAATGTCTTTGCTTTGTCTAATTACAAAATTTATCACAATTCCGGAAATTATTTTAATCATACTATGGCATTCATAGAGTCCATTTCTATAATTTACAGTGCTCAATGTACTTTAAAAGACATATTAATATAGCCAACAATGGCGTAATGTACATCAGCACATAAAATGACACAAATATGTATATCACTGATATTATCAGTGTATGGGTACACGAATAAAAGGATATAGGCAGTGACAGGTATGTATTGAAAAAATTCATGTAGTTTTAGAAAAATGGATCAAACAAAAATACGGTACAGTAGGATCTAGCTTGATGTTTCCTTGAATAGAGAGCAGCACAACGACACAATAACAGTCAGCTTGATTCTTTGAGAAGGACCCGTTAGTCTCAGATTAAGTGTATGTGTGTGTGTGTGTGTGTGTGTGTGTGTGAGTGTGTGTGTGTGCGTGTGAGTGAGTGAGTGTGTGTGTGAGTGTGCGTGTGCATGCGTGTGTGTGTATGTGTGTGTTTGTGTG